TATAGTCTTTGCCATTTCTATTGAAACACCACTTGTTAAGCGTAAATTTGGCAACGTACATACTCAGACAATTTTCTAACTAAAAGCCGTTGTCAATCAACCGAAAGCTGTTACCACTTGCTAGATTTTAAGCAAAATCAACAGGTGGTGTTTCAATAGAAATGGCAAAGACAGTAGGTACTGGTTGATAAAGGTGGGTATTTATACATGCTGTTAACACAAGCTACCTAAGTGCTCATTCACAATGGGCATAAAACCTAAGGATGTCCTAAGCATTAATGCATAAAAATTTATGTTTAGTGCTTTATGCTTGTATTCGTTCACAATGAGCACAAGTGCTCATTCACAATGGACATGAAGCATACGGATGTCCTAAGCATTATGTCCCAAATTCCAAAAACCTACTTTGTTACAAACATGTGATATGGTTGGTAAATTTTTCAAACAGTCTCATCATGTTAATTCCATTAGACGTCCGGTTTAGTGTGCAACTAGTGTTAGGGAAACAGTATATTACGGGGAAAATTAAAAAAAGTACACGATTCAATAGAAATTTAATTATCATTTTTGGTTATACGTATGCTAAAAGAAAACACTTTTAAATTAGACTGTGTAATTTATGTTACCAGAACTTAACAAGTGCTAAAGACATGGTGAACCACATAACTAAAGCAATTAAAGTAAGTATTAAGTGTTTCATGAGAGGACTTGTTATTTCCGTAGCACTGGTTGTACACGCTCTAGACTGGGTATCTTAAAAACATAGAAGATGTAGCGTCCCTTGGGGTCAAATCCTCTTCCTGCGTCTTGTCGGAATTTATTGATCTAACTTCTTTAATCCTACATATTCACCGGTAAACATTAACCCCAACACTGACAATGAAAATGTGAGTTATAATAGTGTTTTCTGTTTGGAAACCTGCGGTTTGAGTGGAAATCTTAGAAGAACAGAAGATATAGCTTTCCTTGGGATCAAATAGTGTTTGTGATTATCATTCTACCCCCTCTAATTCTATGATTTTAAATAACACTTAACCCTTACGTACCTATGTACGTATGTATAAAGTTTTATATTGTGGATATCGTTAGTGATACGAGAAATAGCGACGGTTGTTCCTACAATATAAAGAGAGGTTGTGATTAAAACACGTAAGTTGTCTTATTTCTTTCTAATAACATTATACTTTGACCAGAACTCTTGTGCGGAATCTGATTCAGGCGTCTATTGACTTTCAACAATTTTTATGAGGGCTTAACTAAAGACCCTTGTAAACTTGCTGCAGTGGGAGGGGGTTTGTTGAGATGGATCGTAATGAAAATTTTACTGCCATCAGTATTACTCATACAGTTAAATCCATAAGGTTGTAACCACTCGTTAAATTGTAAGGTTGGCATTACAGCCAATGGTGTTTTTCACATGAACAGATTGGTAGCGGCGCATATGTCAAAATTTGACAATTACGCACGAGAGAGTTTTATTTAAATATCTCACAGTTTGTTATTAAACCATACCATTGAAAAATGGTACCGACACGGCATATTGTGGTAAATAAGCAGATGAAAATGGCACTTGCCAACTGCCACAATGAATTGAAACTTGCTTATCCCCAAGCATCCTCCCGAGAACTTGAATTCAAGCTTGTAAAAATCTTTTCAGTATGTAGTTATTCTTATACCATGGAAAGAGAGTACTATACTATGAGAGTAACGTATCGACATTCGGAACTTTTTTCATGTTATTACAACATGGTGGTATGTCGAAGGACTTTTAGTTTTAACTATCTCAAGTTGAAAGTGTATATCTCGCTTTTTAATACAACATTGTCTTTTCAAGTTTTATACCCACTCTTTATATCCTACACAATACAACTAAATGTCCCTCATTAAATTCAAGCACTGCATACTTTCCCTGTAAACTTATCATTAATTCCTATCCTTTCCATAGTGTTCTCGATGTCAAGCCCACAAAATTATAACCAACGCGCGGAATTGTGTTTCATACGCTCGATCCAGTGCTGTCGCGGCGATAGTTTGATTACAAATATATTTTTCTTTTGGACTATATCAACATAATATAACATTTCAAGATCACAAATCTGTGGTCATGTGTTTGAAAAATTAAAAAGGGCATCGAGTATTTTTATTTGAAGTAATATAGTAATATAAAAGTAGTTTTTTAACAAGCTGTAAACACTCCAAGCGACGCACTGGCTACGACCTTGTGGACCAGATCAAAGCGTCCCCGCTACTCGCCGTAAAACACACCTTGCTTCAACTGGGGAATTGCATCCGTAAGATATTTTTCCGCCCAGTGATTATAACCCAACACCAATCTGGAGAACCGTTACAAGAAGCAAAGTGGAAACCAAAACAAAAATCGCAGTGGTATTCAAATTTGGAATTTAAAGAAGATCTAACCTACCGTATATTTGACAAAAACAAAAAAAATGAGTTTTTTACTCTTCAGGATTTGTTTATTTTTGCGAAAGAACATCCAGAATATACAGCAAGTTTAAATACTTTCCGTTGAGTATTAAAATCCATGGGATTCAGATTTAAGAAAGTTAACAACAGAAAAATAATTGCTTTTTGGTTATTTGGTCTATGTGTTCCCAATGTTTCTAACCACTCCTGTAACAGTAAGTTTAAATAAGCCGTCAAATTATTTTCAACATACCTATTATTTTAGCCTCTGAATTTTGTGAAGTTACATTTTGTTCATTATTACCACTAAAATCGTCAGGACGGAGGAGCATAGCCAGACCTATCGCCTTCAACCAAATCCCTTGTACATTTTGTAAATAATAAGTAGTACCAAATATTAGAGTTATTAAACATAACATTAAAGACTTGTTGGTGTCCCATTTTTTTGATGAAAAATTGGTCATCCATTGCAACTAATTAAGGTGATCTACCCATTATAGACAATTTTGGTGTTGCTCGCGAGATTGATCATTTCAGTCGAGAGAGCTGATCCTTCGAGTCATAGTTAGCCACACATATAATTATCACGTATACTTATGTACAATAATTTAAACAAATTCTGAATATCTCAGTTATTCCCCATCTGTAAAGTAATTTTTATGAAGCAGCAACAATAAATAAATCAATTCACCTTGTTTTTTTACCAGCCCAATATTTGATTTCATTCGTGACCACAATATTTTTGGGTTCATTTTATCGTAATTCGTAAACGTATCGACTGCAAGTCTAAATTACAGCAGGTGGCATTCTTTCTACAGATGAAAGATAAAACACGTTTCTATTTATCGTTGCTCTTGTATTATAATTACCATGAAGACTCAGGTTATCCTGTTTTTATTGAAAATTGTTTATCAGTTTTTACAATATTGCGACAAGTTACAATGATAATTATGAAATAACCTGTGCAGGAGTGCAAGAATTGCAGTGAAGTCGAACGTAATCATGTGTCGCGAATACATGAATGAACTGACATTATATTGACAGGTCACCAAATATGTCACCAGGTTATTAAAAGACAGATTTACACTGAATAATTTTTAAAAATTTACACTAGGGAGTGGTTACAACCTTATGGATTTGAGTTTAAGAGAGGTCGGGGTAAGAAGACAAGTTTAAAACAGTGGGTGATTAAACCCTCAGAAAATTAGTGGAAGTCAATAGAAGCCCTAGGCAGACAGAGTTCTGGTCAAAGTTTACCTTCCTTACTTTAACCTTTGTAAAACTTACCTTTCTATTTATCATGCCCGACGTGACCTATCGCAGCCTCCCTTCATCTAAAACTTTATTATTCACACGGTATAATATCAAAGTTACTTCACAGTGACACGTCCCACATCAGTATTTCATAATTTAAAATACTGCATTTAACTTGTATCCGAACCGTCCCTCTCCTACCTGACTGGTAAAACCCGTCTTTTGTTCCCACTTTCACCAACGCTCATTGGTTTTTCACCAACAGTTTCAAAATCCCTTTTTACCTTTGTGACCACGAACTGTGATCTTCAACAAAATGAAACCCTAAATTGTGTTTTGATAAGGCGGAACAGAAGTGATGAACCGCAAAGATGGAAAAGTGACCTTGAATTAACGACACAAAAATATGGAGCGAATATTTTTAATAAAGTTTTTTTTTTCAAAGGGCTCTATTTCTTAGCTACAAACATTTCCTCGTTCTTTTGAAATGCAAGATTACAAATTTCAATCATATAAATACAGCTCGTTGTGAAATGTAAGTACACAATTCTCTAGTTCGCAACAGCGTATCTAAAGTAAATATGGGTGGCAATACTGGCAGAGCCCAAATTATTACTCGGTGTGGTACACATTTAAATACAAACAAAATTCGATGTTATGTTATGTTGCTCGCGGACTTCCACACACATAACATCTTGCGCGCAAGGCACGATGCATCCGAACATGGATATCCTCGCCTTCGCAGATCAGCCCAAAATCATATTGCGTATCAACGCTAGCCCAGAGTGTTGAAAAATTACATTGACGAAGAGAACTGACATGAGCCAAGTTGCAAAAAAATTAAACTGTTCACAAATATATTAGGTACTTTGTACATCTGAACGTGTACATCTGAAATTTGTGTTCCCGAAGTTATTAGTCGTATTAAATGAATTAAAAATTGCAAAGCAACGAAAATTTCGTGTCACCACACTACAATAAACGATGAGAATCTCCATGATGCTAAAATCAATAAATTAAAATTAGTCAATCAAGATTACTATTACGATTAATTATAATCGCGATAGCTATTCAAAAATAAGACGGTTACTCCACCGTAAACACAAGAAAGAGGTTTTCCGAAATATGCAAAAAATCACAGAACACCTATCGATACACCTAGCGATAATAACCTCCCCAATCCGGGATACTTCCCAACAGCTCCCGACTTAGCTTACCCGTACTCGGAAAACTTTACTGTAAAACCGGAAGAACCATCTTTTTCAAAAGTATTGGAAAAACCTCTAGTAAATAAAAGACCTGACGCGAAATCGGAGAAAAAGGAATTAACCAAATCTCATACTATAACATATGTGGATCTTAAGCAAGCGGTAGATGATTTAAAAGAACCCCGAAATCACACCTGGTTCTAAATGTTCACCGAAACTACTAATAAAAAAAAAATTAAAAAAAACAATGATAATAATGCATGCCTAGTATTAAGAATATAATCTCATAGGTTCCAGTTAAATATCCTTAGATTATAAGAGTAGAGTAAAATTGTAAGAGAGCAAGATAAAAGAGTTTGACCGTAGGTAGTCCGACACAAGAAGGAGATTCAGCATAAACCCTAGAAATTCGACGACACGATGCCTACTGTAAATCAGCACTGGGTTTCCATAATTTGGCCAGTTAAAGACAATGGCATGCTATATAACTTAACATGGCAACAACCAAGGAACAACTCTAACCCGATACACATATGGTGGGTTAGTCACGACACAAACACCGTAAACAATATCTCGACGACAATGACGTCAGTTCTCCTCGCCATGAACTGCGAAGAACGCCAAACGATAAGTCTCAAGCAATATGACTCTATGCGAGCGTTTGTTGAACAATCACAAACACTCGTATATCAACCAAGGTGCTCATTAACGCAAAATTTCAAGGAGCTGGAGCAGTACAATGATATTCTAATCATTGTGTTTGGCCTGATCATCATTAATATACTGTTGTTTTGCATGATCAACCTGTACCGAGGGGCTCCACAACACAAAAATCCATCCAGTGGGGACGCGCAATCCACGCTCACAACACCAACCTCTCTGGAAGTACCCTCAACTTCCCCAGAAGGCTTCACCTCGTTGGCACGAACTCCCTCCAACATAACATGGCGGTCCAACTACAAGGAGAACCCCGTCTATATGGCGAACAAGGGAACAGCAGCCGGTTATGACACCCCGAGACCAGCCACGAAATTTCGAGGAGAGGCTATCAACAACGAACACCAGACAGCCCGAGTATATGAAGCCATAGAGCAGATCACTTGCATCCAGACGAGCCCATCGCCAACAAATACAACAGAGAGGCAAACCATCGAAACGCCTCCTCGCCCTCATACATACTCCAACGTGCACATATATCAAGGCGTGACTCCTCGGTAGTCATTCAGTTGCCCACCACCACAACCTTGGACCAAGAGAGTGAGACTAACAACCCAGGAGCCCGTCAAATCCAAACGACCCATAGAAATGCATCACACTTGACACCTCCAGAAGAGCGCATTCTATACAAATAGGTAAGCAACAAGTATATTGGCACAACTTTTATATTCAGCAAAATCAGAAATAATAGGAAAGTTTTGCTAATAAGACAGATCGCAAACCAGTCATATCAGGGAGATAGGAGTAAAACTGCGAACATTTCGGTGCTCGCATTTTACTTTTTGCTAGGGAGTATTGTGACGAGCCGTCACTAAATTCGTTCACGAGAAAATTGTAACTAAAAAGACGAATAACAAATCCCGAAAACATAACTCGAAAATTTGCAAATCTTAATAATTAATTAACACTCATGTCCTAATAGGTATATAGTACCATTCAAATAGATAAACAAACTCAACCACCAATCCCCGAATGCAGAAACAAAATTCGCGTATTCGCAAATTGCAAATAACATTGCGCTTGCTAGACGTTGCAAATAGCTTGTACAGAATAATACGCCATAAACATCGCCAATCGCAATTATTTTCATCTGAAATTGTATCCAAACTAAAACAACTGCAAACGAAACGCAGACGCATAAAAAACATCAAAGAACCCAGCAGTGCATCTGTGCATGCACACTCATCTTAGCCCTCGCTAGAATGATCCCCATTTCATCCCCGGAACTGGGATTTCATCAGCTTCCCATATTTTTACCATATAAGGAAGCGGACTTACCGATTGGTCGACGCATCTTCGCATTTTCATGACCATATAAGGGCACACAGTACCACACAAAAGCACCGGTCTATTCCTGTCCAAAACGAAGCTATATAAGGGTGAATTTCCAGCAGGACAAAAATTCAGTTTGAGTTGAAGTTTCGAGTTGCTGTCGAAGACTGCCAAATTTTTCGTCGAGATTTTTTTATTATTTTTGCTGAATTTTGAAGAAATCCGAACTTGCTGAGCCCGGGAGGAAGATAGAAAAATTCTCAATGTTGCGGCTGTGTAAGTCTACCTTTTAGTCATTTTTGGTTTATCTTGCTTTCCATTTTTTCGTCATGTGTTCTCGAGTTCAAATCGTACATGTGTAGCGTTTAATTTATGCGTTTTCTTCGTTACGTTGGGTGTGAACAGTTAGCGTCGGCACACAAAGTAATCTTTAGTGCTACCACATGTTCCCGTTTGCAGGTGGCACGTTTGGCCTTGCGTCGGTTCTTGATTGTTGGGGAGGATTTTTCGATAAATTACCGTTCGTTTTTATGATAATTATTCTGTTTCCTTAATTTGCCGATTTAACTCTTTTGCTTGCGACATGAATATTTTATGTGCGTTTTTGGGAAGTTCCCAAATTGAAACCTTTTTAATTTAATTTTCTTGCAGTCGATTATTTTATGTTGAATTTTTGCCGTTTAAATATGATTCCGTTCTCTGATTATTTTGCTATAGTATTTGAAAACCTCGCATTTTATTATACTCTAATCGTCTCACTGTATTTTAGCGCATTTATGGTACTAATTTCCCAACGTTTAGCTGCATTTATAGGCTATTCTGACTGTTCATTTTCGCATGTATTTAACTGTCCTGTAACCGTCAGTTTTTCTCGTGAACAAATGTTGCGCTCGGCGTATTTAGCTAATCAATGAATGTAAAAACTCATTTATCTCTCTTTTTACATATTTATATTCATAAGTTGTCGTAGATTTAAGTGCATCAGTGGCGTAACTACCGGTGTTCCACGTGTTCGGCGGAACACGGGCCCGCTGCTTCAAGGGGCCCGATCCGGTCACACGAACATTTTTTTATTAAATTTTTGTATATTATTGCCCAAATTACATCCTGAAATAAAAAATTCGAAAATGTGCGGTAATCCCAGGATCGATGGTCGATTGCTATTTACGAATTTTTTGCTGCAAAGGGCGGCATCTCAAGATCATAGACTCAATAAACTCGGGTTTTAGCGACCGGCACCGGCGGTCGAAAATGCAGCAGCATCTCTTTGTAATAAACCTGTCGCAGTGTCGCAATCCCATTGTAGCAAATTTAATACCCCATGTAGTAAATTACCAATCTTTATCCGACAAAAGTATGACTAATTTATGATGCAAGACAACAAAATACTTAAATTTTGTCCTCAGTTCTACAGTGAAACTTCATGCTGTAATAAAACGTGAAAAAAAAAATCAGTTTCAGTTGTGTTTTATGAAAATTTTCGTATTTTCAAAACAATTTTAATTTTGTACTTGTGGTGCTTTTTTGGAATAATAAAATATATCTGACGTATGTTACAACTAATTTTTTAAGTAGAAAAAAAACTGGACTGGGAAATTATTACAGAATGACCTACCTGTACTAGTGTCACTGAAATTATCACAGCATGTTTCACTTTTCTTACAATACCTCTTTCGGTGGTTTCAGCGGAAAGATCTTTTTCGAAATTAAAAATGACTAAAAATTTTTTAAGAAACAATGAGCCAATGCAGATTACCTTCATTGAATCTTCTCTCAAATGGAAATCAAATTGCTAGAAGCTTAGATGTGTCAAATTTTGTATCAACTTGTGCCCATTGAAAAGCAAGAAGAAAACAATTTTGAGATTAAAAAAAAAATGAGCATTTTATCTATACTTCTATACTTCTATACTTACTTATATTATAAAGTTGAAGAGTTTGTTTGGTTGAACGCGCCAATCTCAGAAACTACTGGTTTGAATTCAAAAAATCTTTTTGTGTTGGAAAGTCCGTTTATCGAGGAAGGTTATAGACTATATAACATCACCTTATGATTAATAGAAGCGGAACAGCAATGAAAAATATCGGAAAAACGGGAAAATTATTCGTCCTTTAACAGCTTCCGTTGCTTACGCTGCTTATTAAACGGTTAAAGTTACATAAAAATCATGTATGATGGAATTGTTCCCTTCTAAAAGTTCTAAAAACAAGTCCGCGACAGCATACGTCATCTTTTAAGGTCGATTCAGTATAACCTTTTTTATGGTAATGAATTTTTTTCTAAAATAATCTAATATAAAATTCTGGTGTCTCCTCCGAAACGACTTGACTGATTTTTATGAAATTTTTTGTGTATATTCGGTAGGTCTAGTAAACTATTTTTTAAACCCCTAAGTGATAAGGGTGACCCACCAAACTTTTTTTATTTTTTAGATAACATTTTTTATTTTTATTTTTTTAAGATTTGGCATCAAAAAATACATATAACCCTAAATTTTTACCCTTCTACCACAAACCCCCATTTTTTAATAACGATATGAGTATCTTTGCTTTCATCCACAGATGCGCAATAGGGTTGCAAGATGGCCATTGAATATAATCATTGTCGTACGATAAATTTTTATGTATTTATTTTAATTTAAGAAGATCTGCATTTACGTGTACAAGAGGTAGCAATTTTTTTAAAGGTAACCTATTTGTTTATTATTTACAATTACATTTAATAAAACAAAACGAATCGTTTGCTCCACTGCATTGTGGCAGTGGTTTTGGAGAATTATCATCTCTCAACCGACCGACGGTTGAGAAACCCTGGAATCTGTCAATGTTGCGGACGGTTTATGGCTTAGGCGAACAGAGTTCTGAAATACACTATATAATTATACCTGCTAAGGATTAGTGTCAGTTATTGGAGAGATGTCGTTGTGACAACAGAGTGTAAATACTGTTTTTGTACGACCATTGCTTTTTCGATCATTTACCGTACAGGTTTCCATAGCAGTAAGTTCAGTTTACGGGTTGCTACGACTAACAACCAAGAGGCGAACGGTAAGCAGATTACTTACTGTTCAGCTGAACGGTAAGTAATCACGCATTCAAGATTTTTTAAATTTTAAATTCCATGCTTGTTCGACTTCGATATTTTCGCTTTCAGAATCACTCATGATTGATATTTTAAGCAAATAAATCACTCACTAATAGTCGCGGAAAGAAAATCAACTCGAAATCAAACCAGATCAAATCTAAATCGACAGCGGTCAAAATGGAAACTGATTTTTAAAATTGTATTGTTTATATTAATCGAAACCATAGTAACAAATTTTAAATAAAAAAAAGACCTTGTTGATGTTTGATATAAATTCTTTCAATTTATGAATTTGATAAAAAGACGCAAATCTTTTGATGGTCGTACAAAAAATAGTATAAGCATCACGAACGTTAAGGGGGTTTACTGGTCTCACACAAATTGGAGACGTCGCTTCGCTCCGTCTCCAAACTTTTGTCTTCGACCAGTGAACACCCCTTACCGTTCTTAATACTTAATATACTATTGTGTAACCATATTATTAAGTGTATCTAGAGCACGTAGGCTTTTCTGTCCTGTCGGGTTTCCCATAATTTGATAGACGAACAAAAAGTGTAATGTCAGAATTGGTAGAAAAATTTTCAAATTTTTACACGAAGGTCCTCATGATGTTTTTTCCAAAATTGCAACAAATGAGAAGACATATGTATCCGTTTTCGATATTCCAACCCGTCAAAAAAATTGAAGCAGAAGAACATACGACTGTTACAGCAAGTTTGTACACCCAGAAATGTTTGCCAAAAGTGTTGCACGAATTCACTGTTAAAGATTTAATGCTTCTCCACTGCAATACCTACTCACATGCTACGAGAACACCGATTTAGTTTTTGGCCGAAAACATTATTACTAAAATTATTGAATATCTCACTCCCCTGATTTAGCAATGTGTGACTTTTCGCTGCTTTTTAAAATAAAAACGTATTTACGAGACCACTGTTTTTCTTCAGAAAATGAAATTGATTTGGCATCTCTTTAACAAAATGAATGGCTGGAAGTTTTTCGTGTGTGGAAAATTCTTCTGCAGAAGCGCATTGATGTTGGAAATGATACTTTTAATATAAATAACATTTCAAAAACCTCTAGGCCGTTGCGTTTTCTTGTATTTCAAATATTACAGAGTAGCTCTCGGATTTACACGGCAAAATAATATTCTCAATCTCAATGATCAACTTAGTTCGAGCATTCAACCAGATCCCTGTTGCAAAAGAAGATGTCCCAAAGACTGGGATTACGACGTTTGGGTTACAAAACACAGTGGGAACATTCCAAAGGTTTATCGACGAGGTACTGCATGGTCGGATTTTTGTTATACATATACCGACGACATACATCCTCATGGCATCTGCCTCGCCTGAAGAACACTCCAGCACCTGGAAATTGTGTTCCAACGTCTGAGGAATGACGATGTCGTCATCAATCCCATAAAATGCGTCTTCGACCAGCCAAAGGTACAGTTCTTAGGATACCTCGTTTCCGATGTAAATAAGTACCCGCTCAGTTTCCGAAAAGTTCGAGGCAATTCGCAACTTCCCGCAGCCGAACACAATGAAAGAATTACGTCAATTTCTAAGTATGTTGAATTGTTTTAGTAGATTCCTACTATCTTCGGAAACCTCGATCGACTTTGAAGCATATCTGGCAGGAAACCAACTCAAGCTGGTACGAATTCCAGGCTACGAAGTGTCGGTACTTCACTGCGCAACTTTTCATCACTGACGAGTCATTTCACCCAGCTGCATTCCAATTAATTCATTACCAGGCATTAACGTCACCATAACGCAGCGTTGCTTCTAGCCGTCGATCAAAGCGGATTGTCGAAAATGAAAACTGCATATAGTGTCAACTTTCGAAGATTTCGGACCACGTCTCAATCGCCCATCGGTATGATCGCACCAACATCAGCTCTTTTCAAAGGTATGGACGTGCACATCATAATCACGCCATTATCAGGGGATGTCCCTCACTGCTATTATCATGGTAGGTCGATACATCTGCTATCCAGAAGCTATACCAATTTTGCAACCAAGATGCGGCAACTACGGGACGAGATTTTTTCTACACATGAATTGCACGATTCAGCAGGCCACTAGGAGTAACTACCGACCATGGCAGACACTTTGAATAGTACATACAGCCTGTTATTGAAAGGTACGTACAAAATAAAATCGGCAATTGGTCTCGAAGTATAGGTGCTAAAAGTTAAAAAAAGTTCAGGTAAAAGTGTTCTCCTTTTAGAGATAAAAATGATTAAAGTTTATGTCCAAATTCGTTGTACGCCTCTGATAAAAAGATCATCTTTCGTTTCCGTAGCAACATTTAGTCTTGACAAAAGTTTTATTGTTACAGTTGCTAGGATTTACTAAAATAAATTAATTTTACCTATTTATCGTTCAGTAGCGTCTAAAGAGATTGGATAAGGGTTAATTTTCCCGTTATAATTTTGATAACATAAAATAAGTTTTTCCGACTTCTTAGACTTCGCGAAGAACTGTCCATTTTGTTGTACGTACCTTTCAATAACACCCTGTATTTAAAGAATTAAATTGTGAGGAGCCACGCATTTTTCAATTTTAATAAGTTCTTTCAAAAGGCTGCATTCTTTCAGCTATAAAATTTCCTCGTTCTTTTCAAATGCAAGATTACAAATTTCGATCACAAACACAGCTTGTTAAATGTACACAATTCTGTAGTTTGCAACATTGTATCTAAAGTGAATTGATGGCAATGCACACATTATTAAAGTGTCGTGTTAGCAGATTTTTTGTTTTTTTTTATTGGCAGTCAAGAAAAAAAGCACGATTTAATTCAACGATTTAAGAGGCTGGGAACGAACAGCGCTAATGGTTCTACACCCAGTCTCTGACAGTATCTTCGCACTAACAGCTATGTGCAACCAAGCCGCGGTGCCCCCGCAAGCGTCTACTATGCCTACTGTATCCGCTGGCGACTGCGGTAGCTGCTTCTAGCTTTATTTCGCAACTATACGCCATTCCCCGCGTGACACTATTGCGAAAAAACAGTCATATGAATGAAAGAAAAATTATCACTCTGGACTTGGACCGCGCTTCGCTCTCGCAGACCAAATTTAATAAAGCAAAATTAATGAATTAAGACTACATCGTGAATCAAATTCCCCATCACAAAAAAAACACATGTTAAATATGGTCGAAATCACAAGAATATCGTACGGTACATACTTCATTATGAGAGGAGTGTCGGAGCATAAACTTTCGAAATTTCTAGTTACAGAACACATAAATCGTAATACAAAATCAGCATAAAATCCCATTTCCCTCTTCGAATACACGATGACATTTACTTGACTGATAATTTTAAAAGAGAATCAATGCTTAAAATTAAATCGTGAATACTGCCAATTACTATTTTAAAATTCCCAAATGAGAGCGTATTCAGATGTAATTTTAATATAAATGGTGAGTGCTTCACGTTGTATACCCTTTTTTGATGACTTTCGCGCATTCACCAACTTCCCGCACACGTGCATTTAAACTTTCCGTTGCCATGGTAACCTTAAAATAGTCGGGCAGTGTCAACATTGTGATGTGCTGATGTGTTACGGCGCTGTCAACGCCGTTGTTTACAAATAACTCACAGTTAATCCTGGTTAATCTGTTCAGTTTAATGGTTTATTCGTTGCAAAAAATATTGTACACAACACGTTCGGATGACTGCTTCCCGCATTTACGCAATGCGGCACGGCCGAAGGGAGCGTTCACGCGGGAAGCAGGGTAACCCGAACTGGTTGTGTAAATTACCTACTAATTAAAGCAGCGATTATCTCTGGCAGCGTAGTCGATACCGAGTTACAATTTCGTAGGGTTTGAAATTGTAAGATTAGTATAAGCCGTTATAAGTATAAAAATAGGTCGGACAAAAAATTGAATACATTATTTGTGCGTTAGGGCATTTTACAGGGCTCGATTCGGTTTCAAAATTAAAAACCTCGCCTGTAAAATGTCACCTACCGCACTCATAATGTAAATAACTATATGGACAATTGTATAGTTCAATTTTTACGACTGTTGTCAATTGTTGCTACGCCCTACGCCACTGCGTTCATTTCACGAGTTTACCAAACGTGCTCACATGTTCAACACGTGTAGGGGAGGAGAAGGTTGGATGAGAGGATGACAGTTGGGTATATGCCTGAGCTGTCAGTATAGTCACGTCATATTATAATTGTCATCAATCTATAAACAGAGATCTATGTGGCTCCGTGACATAAACCACAGAACACTCATATTCTGTGACTCACATAAACCAGCTAGCATAACAATCAACCACAACTTCCCTAGGTTAACCCACGTATAACCTACAAACTGGCAAACTGCTCGAAGTGTGGTTACTGTTGAACAATCTATGTAACGGGAGCAATGGCAATTAATGCAGATATCTTCTACAAAGCGGCTTTGAAGTATACCCAAGAGGCCGGACAGGTAAACAAAACATTTTGGATATAATTTCATTCATAATGATTTCTTTCTGCAGTTAATTCGCGAAAAAATATCGGTCGTCAATAAAACCGTTGAAATAAAATCCTGCGAAATTGACTTAGTTACTGAAACTGACCAACAAGTTGAAAAATTATTAATTGGAAATCTCAGCAAAGAATTTCCAGACCATTTGTTTATAGGCGAAGAATCGGTGGCTAATGGCACAAAGTGCAACTTAACTGACGATCCCACTTGGATTATAGATCCAATAGATGGTACAATGAATTTTGTTCATCGGTTTCCTCATTCATGTATATCTATTGCCTTATTTATTAACAAAAAACCAGAAGTAGCTATAATTTATAATCCTATTATTGAACAGTTATTTACTGCTAAACGAGGACATGGCGCTTACTTAAATGGGAAGAAAATTCGAGTTTCTGGTGAAAACGACCTGAGTAAAGCTTTAATTGTAATGGAATATGGCACAAGTAGAGATGTAGAGAAATTGAAAGTTGTCGCAGCAAACCAGGACATGTTAATGAGCCAAGTTCATGGGTAAGTCATTTTGTATTTAGGAAGTTTAACAACATTTGCATGATTTTTTAACCAGACCATTTAACAGTCAATAATTTTTTTATTGTAAACTACCTTGTTACTGTTCTGTCGCAGAATGAGGTGTCATTTAAAACTATACAGTGCTTGCAGTTTAAATCCATCAGTGATTATTTTATTAATTTTAACCACAAGACTCACTGTAAATTAAGACATCGAACTCATTTGTGAAATTAGCCCTTATATGTTAATTTTACTGTATCCACATAATAATAATAATAATAAATCGTCAATCAGTGCAATCTCAGGAAGCCACAATTTGGTTCAATTTTTTTTTAATTCCAAGGCTAGATTAAAAACAAGTAAAATTTGGATAAAATGAAACCAATAAACAATTACAATACTTTTTTAGCGTGCTCGCAAGCTCGTAAGACAGAGAAATTGTTTTTAAATTCAATTTTTTTTTTTAGGATACGAGCTCTGGGATCTGCGGCACTTGATATCGCCATGGTCGCGATGGGGGCTGCAGATGCATATTTTGAGTTTGGAATTCATATATGGGACATCGCAGCGGGAGAACTAATGGTTACAGAAGCTGGGGGAGTAATTATGGATCCTTCTGGAGGTCCAATAGATCGGTTATCCCGCCGCATATTGGTTGCTAGTTCGAATTCACTGGCCAAACAGTTGTCAGAAAAGTTAATCCAGTATTATCCAACACCTACAGATTAAGTAACTTAATTTGTCATTAACTTTATTTTGAAGTAGGTACATTATTGTAACCGTTTAACTTTTATTCAAACTATCTTTAGCTTGGCATAAATTATGCAGAACATTTTTTATTGCATAATCTGTATTAGACTTGGGCAAACCCATTAAAAATTTTCAGCTGTTAGTACATACACAAAGCAGATAACAATTTATTTTTACAATTTTATGAAATTTCTTATTGTTTGTAGAATCGTTAGAATTTGATTTACGGCACTCTCATATGTGGAAGAATTGTTTTCTTCACTCATCAAGGAACTATGCAGCATGTTTTAAATCATTTATACTGCTTGAATTTGCTTCGCATGTGTGTAGATAATAAGGGAATTACAGGAACGCCCAGCATAGAAGTAGAGAAATGAATACTGCTTTATTGAGGGCAAACCATCGCCTATTTATTTTTCTTCTTCATCGTCTTTTTCGCTCTGAACACATCTGATCTTTATTTTTTGATGGAGTCTGGCATTACTCTAATTGACACACTTGCTATCATGTAAGAAGTCTTTAACATTTACATAATAGACATTCTGTCAAATTCTGCAATAGGAATGGAAACCTCAGGACTGGTAAACGTTACCTCCATATGGGCAACGTGAGAGGAGCGGTATAATCCTTTCCGGTATAGCAACCGGTATGACGTAACTTTGTGAAACTAAAATGCAAAACGTTTCTCCTATTGTACAACAGTCCCTAACTTTACGTGATATAGACTCTTTTCACTAACAGGAGTTCTGACTGAAGCCAAACAAAGCCTTCAGTCCCTCGTTGGTCCAGTAAATTGGACGCTAAAAAAGAGACAACTGGCGGTGCTGTCATTCAACTGCCATGCCATCTTGAAAAGAAGAAGGGTGCAATTAGTTCTTTGATTCATGATGACAAAGAATGTGTTAAGAGAATTGTTGTAGATGGTACAATTGTCTATAACTTTTATTTAATAAAACTTTTTGGCGTAACATTAATAATAAACAAGTTTTGAGCAGAAAAACATCAAAGCTATGGTATGAAAAAGTTTAATGCGAACTTCTTAAATTAATTTTATTTTCAAACGTCATATAACTGACACTTATATGACGGTCTTACCGGGGTTTAAGTGTCATTTCTATGACACCGTGTTTGAGCGGCGTATAAGTACTGCTTATACTCCGCCGGAATATAAATATGTGAAAATCATAGTGGTTGTCAACCATAGTAACCATGGTAAGTGAAATCAAGGCAATTCCTTAATGAAGCAAGATGGGAAATAATCATTTCAAAAGAAGATTAATCGTTTGAAAATAAAATATTGTATTTCATTCGGAGTTTAAGTGACTTTATGTGACTCGTATGGACTTAATTCGCCTCGCTATTGCTCGGCGTTTAATCGTCCATACTCCGTCACATAAAGTATCACTTAAACTCCTAATAAAATAAATATCTATTTTAACTGCAAAACCAAATAGGGTCAAAAAGATGAGATGCAAATAATGCTGTGCGTCTAAAATTCTATTAATGAATAAACTACAAAAGCTTTTCATCCTTTACTTTTTCATATTTTTCTGTTCGTAGCATTTTAATATCAACGTTACGCCGAAAATTTATTAATGAAGGTTTATGTGTTTTACCTAAGAAAAAAATCTCTTCAGAAATTTGTTGTCATCATTACGGAGAAATATTTATAAAACTAATTACTCCCTTTTTTTCACATCAGTCGAATGACGCCATCTCCAGTTCCGAAAATTCAGTTTTACACTTCCGTCGCTGTCTACCCAAATTGCATGATTTGTGGCTGTCAAATCATTTCAGCTGAGTGTTAGCTGTTCTTGTTCTGACAAAATCTTGTGTGATACGAATAAGGTAGATCAGAATTGATGATTTTGTCCAAATTTACGCAGGAAGAGAGGGTTGAAATTTTTACATGATAGAGAGCTACAAAAAGTCGAAAGAGCTACTAAAAGAACAATTTCAAAATCAAACACTTCAGGTGAAATATGAAAATATGATTTTTGATTGTTGGGAATTAATTTAAAATAAATTGTCATTGTTATCTTTTAGCCTAACGCAAATTGGGAGAAACTTGCAAAATCAAGTCTGATAGATTTCATAGATTTCTTCGATCGCAACTGCTTAATTTACAACTTAGAAACAGACGGTTTGTGGCGTTTGCTGAAAACAATGGGGATCATTATTATTATTATTATCATGAAATTGCGATCAGGCAGAGGTGTATGCTTGTTATGCCCGCGCAACCTTAACACCTACACTTTGATGTACTGATCGTAGCTACATTTGAAACTTAAAACCGAGTCACTCAACACACACCTCCGTTGGTAAAGAATTCCACTTACCAAACACCCTGTTATATATATATGCCTAGTTGTCGATTTAAAGTTACCTTTGACCAATTTAAAGGAATGAACCCTCGTTCAACCACGCATGTCTAGCTTAAAAAAGGATCGAATGATTGAGTCGTTGTTAATAAGCGCCTGGAATGTTGCAATCATATCCCCCCCTTACCCTTCTGTCAACCAAGGAAGGTAGGTGCATTAGGGCCAGTCTCCCCTCCTACGAGGGGCGAAGTCGCCCAAACGGCAAACGAGTGACACGACGCTGTACGCCAATAATGGAATATCCCCTTTCAGAGACGGTGTCTACACACCATTGGCAAATTCAAGAACAGGTCGAACTAACGTTTTATATAGATTGAGGAACATCGATATTGTAATAACCCTAAACGTCCGACTAATAAGAAATATAATTCTATTCGCCTTCTTAACCACTTCAGCTATGTCATCAGACCATAAGAGAGAGAATGACACCATTACACCCAGATCGCAGTAAGAGTCAACCTTGGACAGTTGCGTGCCATTCACATGATAATCATGCTTTGGATTTCGGCTACTAAGGTACGAGACAAAAAATTATCACGGTGCAATTTTTTAAGAATTTTTTATTATGTAGTCCTTTGATTAAATAAATCACCCAGTAGAAGTTAATTTAGCATACAAAAATGCTTTTTTCAGTGATATTTTTGCATCAAATAATTTCTGATCTGTGAAAACTCAATTGTGTCAAGAAATTTTGAGACAAAAAATTATCACGCATCACTTTTTGCATAAAAATTAAATAGAAAAACATAGTATGCGTAATTGTTGTTTATTTGTACGATACATAATTGTTTGTTACAACTGTTAAAGTGTCGAAATATATTTGACCGAGCTACAATAATTGTCTTTCGTCATGGGCAAAGAAAACGATCTAACAAAACGTGAAAAAGGACAGATTGAGGCATACTATGACCAAGGTTTGACTTTTGCGAAAATAGGAAGAAAAATTTAAAGAGATAGGACCACAATCTCCAAGTTTGTAAGGAAGAAATACAATAAAAATGGACGACAAAATTGTGGAAGAAAAGAAAAACTCACTGCACGTGCCAAAAGATCCATTGTGACTCTGGCTACAAAGGATAACATGTCGTTCCAAAGGATAAAGACGATCCTAGGACTTCCTGTTCACAAAAGAACAGTTTTGCGAGTACTGGCTACTGACAAAAATGTTAAATATGCCAAATATAAGAAATAACCAATGTTAACAAAAGAGCATATTCAAAAACGTCGTGATTGGACCAGAGAAATTCAGACGAAAAATGAAGAATGGTTCCAGACTGTTTTTTCAAATAAAAAGAAATTTAATATTGATGGTCTTGATGGTTTTAGAAATTATTGGCACGATTTACGGAAGAACCTAAATACTTGTCGAAACGAGTCCAAGGAGGTGGCAATACTATGGTCTGGAGTGGCTTTAGTAGCTTGCGAAATACTAACTTAGCATTTATTTCAAATCGAATGGACTCTTTGAATTGCCAAGATGTGTTGGAAGTGCACCTCAAACCACATTTGAACCTATTTCAAGACAGCAAAGTGATTTTTCAGCAAGATTATGCGTAGATTCATGTGTTTAATTCATCGAAAACGTGGTTTCAACGACAAAATATAGCTTTGCTACTATGGCCTGCTGAAAGCCCGGATCTCAAACCTATTGAGAATGTATGGGGTTCTCTTGGAAAGCAGTACGCAACAGTTAATGAATTGAAAGATGGTATCTTGACGACTTGGGAGAATTTGGACATCAATTACTTTATCCATTTGGTCAATTCTATGAAGCAACGCGTCTATAATCTCATAGAAGCAGGTGGAAAATACATAGGGTATTAAATTCGTTTTCATTTAGTTAGTTAGTTATTTCCCTTTTAAGCGTGATAATAATTTGTCACAATAAGTCTGTTAACAAAATTACTTATTTTCAATAAATTTCGTTCAGTTTTGTGTTTTCTGTAAAAATGTTTTATTAAATTAATTAAAAATAGGATTGCTTTATCAACCAGGTATCTTCACTTTCTTTTAATACATTTAGGCAAAAATTCTGCCCCGTGATAATTTTTTGTCTCGTACCTTACGTATAGAGCACGACGCATTTTGCGGAGTTAATAGGCAGCAACCATGTACACAACCACTTGGCAACTACATCTAAATCATTTTGCAGAACAGTAAAATTGCAGCTCTTGCTATAGATCTTTAGGTCATCCGCATACATTACAAAAGGCGACTTCAGAGAATATTTAATGTCGGAGGTATAAATCACAAAAAAAACCGGCCCAAGTACTGATGCCTGAGGAACTCCACTCAACACTTTCTTCTGCATACTAAGCACGTCACCCACTTTAACACTGAACAACCGATTTGAAAGAAAAGCCTCTATCCAGCGAAGAAGGTTTCCACGGACGCCAAAATGGTTGAGCTTAAGTAGATGATGTCGCAAAGGCACTCGATCGAAGGCCTTCGAGGAGTCCAAATACAGAACATCAGTCGATTCTCCGGAATCAAGCGTCTTGGTTCAGTCCTCAAGACTGCAGAATAAATTTGTAGTGACGGACCTACCGGGCACAAATCCGTGTTACTCTGTAGGAATTATATTACAGTTCATCATGAACTCTATCAACGCATCATAAACAATGGATTCTGCGATTTTAACTACTTGAGACGTTAAACCGACAGGTGTATAATTGGCAGCAACAAACTTATCACCTTTTTTATATATGCCTTTCACCACCGCGGACCTCCCTTCAAGAGGAGGAGTCCCCAACTCAAATGACTGCTCCATCAGA